TGCACCTGGCGCGCGCGCTCTGCCTCAGCCTGCCGCAGGCGCCGCTCTGCCTCCTCGGCCTGCAGCCGCAGCTCCTCCAGCGCCTGCAGGGCCCGCTGCTTTTCACGAGCTGCCTCGGCCTCCGCCTGCACGCGCAGGGCCAGCTCGGCCTCCGCCCGCCGCTTGCGCTGGGTCTCATCTTGCACCTGCCTCCGCAGGCGCTCAGCCTCCTCCTGGGCCTGCCGCTTCTGCGCCTCGGCCTCCTCCGCGCGCGTACGTAGTGCCTGCAGCTCACCCTCAGCCCCGCCGCGCTGGCGCTCAGTCGCCTCCAGCTGGAGGCGCACCACGCGGATTTCCTCCTCGATGCGCAGGCGGCTGCGTTCAGCTGCCTCCACCTGCCGGGCCTTGGCCTGGATCTCCGCCTCCGAGCTCTGCCGCAGATGCTGCAGCTCCTCCTGGATGCTGCGCTTCTGCTGCTGCGCGTCCACCGCCACCTCCTCCCGGCGCGCCACCTCCTCCTGCATGCGCCGCTGTAGTTCCTGCGCCTCCCTCTCGGCCTGTGCCTTCGCCTGGGCGTGCGCCTCGGCTAGCTGCCGCTGCTTCTCCAGAGCGGCCTCCACCTCAGCCAGGCGCTCCCGCTCCTCTGCCCGCTGCTGCTCAGCCAGCCTCTGCGGCCGTGGCAGAGAGAGGGAGAGAACCAGAGAGAGCGGTGAGCAGGCGGGGCGCTCACGTGGCACGGCACCACCACAGTTCACTGACAGCATGGTGCGGGGGTCATGGGAGAACAGAGGTCATGGCCCGTCCGAAGGAGACCGCGTGCACCCGCCCAGGGCACTCAAGGCAGCGAGTGCAGCCTGGCCCCACAGTGCTCACCAGCCCAGGGAAGGAGACCCAGGTGTCCTCCCCTCTTCCCGCAGACAGGCGACGGAGACAGACGGACAGGGGGAGAAAGAGAGAGAGAGCAAAGCAGGAAGTTCGCAGGACCTGCGAGCCGGGCCCACCGCACAGCCCTGCCTGCGCACTGCTGAGCACCCAACGGCCTGGCTCCAGCCACGTGGCCCCTCTCCCTGACCCAGCAAGGTGCGGGGGGGGGGAGTGGCCAGCATGGCACATCAGTGATGATCCGAGCCAGCTCAGAAGGACTCAGCCTGCAGCTCTGAGCAGAGAGGAGGCTGCTGGTAGGCCAGACTAGGACTGGTAAGTACCCTGCCTCACCAAAGCACCTTGAGACACCTCTCTCCAGCCCCCAACACCCGGTAACTCCAAGTGCTTCCAAAGCAAGTGACCAAGTGAAGAGGCCAACACAGAATCTCAAAGAGGAACGTACACGAGAGAGCCAGTGGGACGCCCACTGGGGGGCACGTGCCAACATGAAGACAAAGAGGAGGTGCCAGCCACCAAGGGAGAGCAGTGCAGCATCAGGCCAAGTAGGGCAGACCACAGGGGAGGAGAGCCTGGGAGCAGGCCGTGCTGCAGGGGAGGGAGCTGGCAGCACCAGGCAGGAGGTGAGTGGGAAGAGCTGTGCTAAGTGGTCTCAGATGGGCTCCTGGGAGCTAAGTCTGGGACGGGGCGGGCAGCAGGACAGCCTCCCCACCCGTGTGGGCCGTACCTCCTCCTCCTCCATGCGCCGCAGAGTTTCACTGATGAACTTGATGTATTGGCTTGTAAGTGTGGTCAGCTCACTGTAACGGGTACGCAGGTCCACATACTGGGGAGGAGGGGAGACACTCAGAGTCAGCCCTGCCCCTGCCCAGGGCCCACCAGGCCCAGTGTAGGCTAGAACCACTTGCCAGCCCTGCCCCTCAGCCTCACCTCCTGGATGACACTCTCGGACCCAGACTGGACCTTGGGCTTCTTGGCTGGGGAAGCCACTGGCTCAAGTTGTGCCTTGTATGTGACCAGCTGGAGCTCATAGTCCTGTAGGGATGCACTGGTTGGCCGCCAGCTCTGCCCTCCCACCCTGCCCCTGAAGTTGCCCACAGACATTCCCAGCATGGCCTGGATGGGGGGGGGTACCCTGAGGTCCCAGGCCCACCGTCCACACATCCTCCCTGGGACACAGCCTGCTAGAGGGTGGCAGCAGGCCACAGAGCCTCACCTTGATGGCGTTGATGTACTGCTTTGCGAACCTCTGGCACTCCTCCACCTTCTCCCCGTGGCGCTCAATCTCCTCCAGCAGCGCCTGGGAGGGCAGGGTGGTCAGCAGCCATAGGGTGCAGCTCCACCCCACCCTACTCCTGCCTACCCTGCCCAGGCCCACCTTCTCCTGCCGCAGCTGCTCTCGCACAACCTGGCTGTTGGCCAACGGCACGGCCTGGATCTGCTCCTGCCGCCGCTTGGCATCTTGCAGCCAGGAGTCCAGCGGGTCTGCGCTCTCACGGTAGTAGCGCAGCTGGCGGCCCAGCTGCTCAAGCTCGCGCTGCCGCACGTCAGTCTGGGCCAGCACGGCCTGCCAGCGCTCAAGCAGCTGGGTGACCCGCTCACGCCAGCGTTCCACCTCCACGTCCCGCTCGCCATGCCGCTGCTGCAGCCGCTCACCCACCTCCTGTGCCCCCCGCAGCTCGTCCCGCAGGGCATCAAACACAGGCTGCTGCGCCTCCGCCTGGGCCCGCAGCTTCTGTTGGGACCAGAGGAGAGGATGCTGTTTCAGCCCAAGGCCCCTGCTGCTGAGCCCCAATGCCTTCCGGCTGTCACGGCAAAGCACAGGCCTGGCAGCAGTACCTTCAGCGCAGCTTTGGTGGCCTCAAGCTCCGGGAGGGTGGCAGGCACAGCCTGGGCCTCCTTGAGCTGCTCTTCGTGGGCCTTGAGCACGTCCTCAGCCCCCTGTGTGCTGCGGATCACCAGGCTGATGGTCTTGAGCCTGGGGGAAGACTAGGGCTCAGAGCTGGGGGGGGAGATGGGCTGGGAGCAGCCAGCCTAACACAGTGGAACCGAAGCCCTGGTGACCAGCTGAGCCCTCTGGTCATGGGCTTCAGGAAGAAGAACCTTTGGCATAGGCAGAAGGTGGCTGGGGACCCCCTGGCCATAGGGGTGCTCCAGCTCCAGCCCAAGTCCTGGAGGGAGGCTGTGCTGGCCAGGGGAGCAGCGAGCTCCAAGGCCCTATGGCAGGAGAATCCCCCATCAGCCTGCCAGCCCCAAGGTTGGGTGACGGGGACACGACATGCCTGACAGGGACACTCCTTCCTAGCAGCTGGGGCCGTGTGATGAAAGGGTGGGTAACAGTCTACCAGAGGAAGGCCAGGCCCCTGGAGGGTGGCCCAGGGTGGGGCTGCGGGGAGAGGGTGGAGGGGTTCTCGCTTAGCTTTGAAGGAGGTCTTTGATGATCTTTGCACATCCTCATTAAAATGAAGTGCAGGGACAGAAGAGACGCCCGTGTCGGGGGTGGGCGCAGGGAGGGGAAGGGCCCTGATGAGGACTCTGCATTCCCCAGGGGCACTGGGGACAGAAGGGCCTGCTGGGGAGGGGATCGCCCTCTACGGTCTCACCCACTGCCCACCCCACCTCCCTCCGCAGGGCTTAACCCCCACCTTCAGCCAAGAAGTGCCCCCTTGAGGTTGCCAGTGTCCCAGTGTGGCCAAGCCCCTGGTCTGAACCTCGCCAGCCACAGGCCACCTCCCCTTTTAGCAGCTCCCACTCTCCTGACCCCTCTGCCATGGGGCCCCGGCCCTCCCCTCTGCCCAGCTGCCTTTCACACCTTAGTGACACCCCTACCTCCTGACTGCCTGAGGTCCCACAAGCAGGGTCCCACCAATTACTCCTCCCACGCCACCACAACCCTTCTTACCCCATGTCCAGTCATCAGGGAGACCTGCTATCAGGGCAGGTCAGGACTGAACTCCCACCACCTCCCAGATGCCCACCCTGGCCCATGCCCACCGTCCCTTGCCCAGATCCCTCAGCAGACCCCTCCTTGGTGCCCCCGTTCCCCTGTGCCTCAGCCTGTCCCCCTCAGCTCTGCTGTGAGCCCTCCCACAGCAGACAGGCGCACTCACTTCTCCAGGTAAATGGCAGACAGGCTGCGGACCTGCTCCAACTTGCCCAGGGTCAGCTCCAGCTCTGAGCGTAGAGTTGGGGCAGCGGGTGACGGCTCAGGCAAGGCCAGGACCTTCTCGGCCTCAGCAGAGAGGCGGGCGACCCCCTTGCCCAGCCCCTCCACCTCAGCCTGTGCTTTCTGAAGAGAGATGGAGGAGGATGTAAGCTGACCCCGCAAGCCCCACACACAGCACCCCTGGAACCCAGGGGGTGGGGGGGGCCTGCCTGCTGCTCTGCGATGCGCTGGGCACACTCCCGCGCGGGCTCTTTGTCCAGCGGCAGGCGCAGGCGGTGCACAGTGCGCGTCTCACAGGCCTCCAGCTGGAGCCGGATGTCTTTGAGCTCGGAGATGCAGCGCTGACAGCGGGACTCCTCCTGCTCGCCTGGGGAACACGGCCCACTCACACACCGCTCAGCTGGGGCCTCCCACCCGCACCAGGCTGCCGCCGCCGCCTACCCTGCTCCAGGCTCTGCAGCAGCTGCTGGTAATGGCGGCTGCAGGATCCATACTCGCGCTCGGCCTGCAGCCGGTCCTCGGGCCCGAAGCCACCAGCGTCCTGGCTGTCCCGCAGGAAGGCCTGGTAGTGCAGCTCCAGGCTGCGCAAGGCTTGGCGTTGTTCCTCTGGCTTCAGTGTGCGGAACTGTGGCGGGGCACGAGGGCTGAGCACTGGCTGCAGGAAGACGCTCCCGCCCCACCCCGCCCACCCCACCCGCCCCGCCCCGCCGGGCAGTCATACCGTGACCAGGGACCAGGAGCGGATGAGCTGCACATCGCGGCTGAGGCTCTGCCAGGCTAGAAGGCTCTTCATGTCCGTGTGCAGCTGATGCCACAATGCAACCAAGGCCTGGTGCTGAGCCTCCAGCCTGGCAGATCAGGGGCAGGGTTAGAGGCGTCTGGGCACCTACTCAACGCCACCCACTCCGGTCTCCAGACCAAGATCACTCACCTGGCGATGGCCTCCTGGGCCTCCTGGTTGGGTGGGGGTATGAGAAAGCACACGGAGGGCACGGCGGCCTCGCTACCAGAGCTGCTGAGCACCTTCCAGTGGAATGGCTGTGCAGGGCCCACCAGCTGGCACTCATCACCCTTGTGCACGGTCACCTAAGGCAGCCAGAGCGGTCACGGCATGGCCACACCATGCCCCACCTCCCGGGCCCAGCCCGCCTGGCCAGGCCTCACCTCCACCTGCTTGTAATCGCACACAGCCAGCAGCGGTACGCGGCCCCGCACAGGGTGGGCTGGGCTGCGGGGCTTTAGCTGCACGATGGCCTTGGCCCGCTTGGCCAGGCCTGAGAGGTGCCCCCTGTACTCGTTCAGCTGGTCCTTCTCATCCTGCAAGGCAGAGGTGGGTCAGAGACCATCACCCAGCATGAGACACTGAGCGCCTTCACAGGCCCCCAAGCCCACCCCAGGCACCCCTCACCAATGCCCTGAAGTCAGGGGGTCCTTCGCACTGCCTCTGGGACACAGTGGGGCTGAGCACTTGGCTGGGACAAGCCCCTAGGGCTTGGACCTCAACAGAGCCCACTGACCCGCCTTCCTTCCTAGTTGGGACTGAGTGCCCTCCCCCTGCCCCCCAGATCACACAGTGCATCCTTCAGGGGCGGGACCCCGGCTGCACTCTGGCCCCAAAGTGTCCTCTTCCCTCTGCCCTCCCTGTCCTGCTGTGGAAGGTTCCCCACCTCCTCCCATCCCAGCCACTCTGAGAGGCCAAACCACACCTAGAACTGTGTGAGGCTGCAAGTCGGAGTCCACCTAGAAGCTACCTGCACCTCTTCCACCCTCTCCCAAGCCAATGCTGCACATGAGGGGGCCTCCTGGACCGCCCCCCCGGCTTCACTGACCCCAACTCCTGACCACAGGATTTCCCAGCCAGCAGAGCCTTCCAGCCTCCTCCCACCTCCACCACTCTGCCAAGCACTGCCAGAAGGCCCTGGAGCCCTCCTGGGTGCCCCCACCCCTGCCCCAGGGCACCTGAGTACCACACTCAGTGGCCTTTCTGCCCTCCTCAGCCCTTCAGACTGTGCCTGCCCCAGACTTCGTCAGGTCCAAGATGCTGGTGGACCCCCTACAGTGAAAGGGCTGGCAATAGAGCAGCTGACTCAGGCTTCTGTTCAGTCCGGGGGCTCCAAGGGTTGGGGCTCACACCAGCTCTAGCCAGCCGCCTGCCCCTGGTCCAGGACCCTGCTCATAACCTCTCAGTTCTCCCACACCCCTGCCCGTCTGCACTGACCTCCAAGCCCTATCATGTCTCCTCCAACTGCTGCCGGCCCCTTTAGACCCCTACCTCCCGAGGGACCTTTCCAGAGCATCAGTGCAGCCCAGACTCCAAGCCAGCCTCCCCCAGTGCTCCACCCAGCCCTTGGACCCCACTGCCCACTCCATCCCCACAGTCCATGAGGGTCTGGGCCTCAGCACCTGCCTCTCATTGGGCTGCAGAGCCCTGGGCCCGGCAGAGGCTGGCAGCCGGCTCACCTGGGCATCCTGCAGCAGGTCCTCAAGACGAGTGACAGTGATGGAGCGATCGCAGGTGTACTTCCTGCGCAGCGTCTCCTGCAGCTTCCGCAGCTGCTCTTCAGCCTCCCGCACGTCTGAGAAGAACTGGGGCAGCAGGAAGGGGTCACGCTAGGCCAATGGCCCAAAGCTCTGGCCAGAGCTGCCCCAGGATGGGCCTGAGGGGCTGGGCCCGATGACAGGGGGGGATTCTGGTACAAGGTCAGTAGCACAGAGTACGTGGCGGACTGCCCGCAGCCGCACAGACAGAGCGGCCGCGGAGCTGGGACCGTGGCCGCAGGCTCCTCAAGGGCACTGCGGCTGAGCAGGGCGGGCCGAGCTCTCACCTGGAAGTAGGCGGTGTTCTCCTTCAGGTGCGCCTCCACGCAGCAGCACAGCTGCAGCATCCAGCTCCACTGCGTCTGCAGGGCTGCCTGGAAGGACTGCAGCACAGCACACACGCTCGTAAGCCCTGCGCCCCCGTGGGGGTCCGGACGGTCCCCCTGCAGCCCTGCCCTGCCCCACCCTGGGGGTCCAGGGGCCCCCAGCAACCCCGCCCCACCTCCACTGTGGGCCGCGCGGGGTGGTCTTCCCGAAGAAGGCGGTCGCCGGTGCTCTGGATCTCCTTGATTTTCTTTTCTTTCAGCTCCAGCTCGCGCATCAGGGCCTGACATGGAGGCAGTGGGTCTCAGGGACAGGGTCAGGCCCATGGATCTGCCAGTCTCCCACCAAACACCCGCTGGAGGCCTGGAGCTGGACCAGAGCCGCCACCCCGAGGGGCTCCGACCTGGGAGGGGGGTGGTCATGGAAAGGCCTGGAGAGCCAGCCGCCCGCCTCACCGAGTAGCTGTCCTTCTTGGCGGCCGTGTTGGTGCTGCGCTCGCTCCAGTCGAAGCCCACCTCCTCGTCCTCCTTCTCGCTCAGCCACATCAGCTCCTTGGTGGCAGCTGCCACAAAGCCATGCAGGCTCTCTAGGGACCTGAGGCGGGCCTTGGAGGAGTTCTGTGGGCGGGCGGGCAGGGGGGCGTGTGTCAGCCACCACAGCCCCGAACGCCTGCCCCAGCTTCCCGCCTGGCCCCCGACTCACTAGCAGCTTGGCATACTGCAGGTCCAGCCGACCTAGGCAGTCTCGGTAGGCGCCCCGGGTAGCCGGGGAGAGCTGGCCCTGCGGGAGGCAAGGAGGGGTGAGGCCTGTGGGGGCCAGGCCCTGGCCCACGCCTGCTGCCCAAAGCGCTGACACCCGCTCACCTCGTCGGTTCGCGCCCGCTCAATCTTGGCCCGGAACTCCTCGATGGACTGGTGCAGGCCGCGGTGGCTGCCCAGCTGCGCCTCCACGCTTGGCAGGTCCACGCCCCACTCGGCGCTGTCCACCCGGCGCTGGTTCTCCCCCACCCAGGCCAGCAGATCCTGCAGGTAGCGCAGCGTGGCGTCCTCAAGCTCAGGGTGCCTTGGTGCGCTCCGCAGACGCAGGTTATACTCAGTGCGGATGGCCACCAGGCGCTCGTGCAGACGGTACACCCTGCGCACAGCGCAGGCAGGAGTCAGGAGGGTCAGTGGGGCTGGGCTGCCCTCCCCAGGCCCTGAAGGAGGGTGCACCCACCTGCGATACATCTGCTCGCCCTGCGGGTGCCGCCCATCCTTGAGGGTCTGCACATCGTTAAACAGCAGCCGGATCATGCCATCCGCCTTGTCCAGGTCCCGCTCCACCTCGCCCGCTCGCTGTGGTGCCTTGCCTGTAGCCAGCAGCCGGACATCCTGCAAGGTGGTCGCCCTGACTCAGGGACTGGCCAGGCCCACCTCCCACCCACCTGCAGAGGGCTCCCCCACCGCCTTTCCCTTTCCTTCCCCACCCAGCACCCTGCATCTTTCTGAAACTTCTGGTCAAACCCCAGCCCTCCACCCTGCGGGGTAACCGGGATTAAGTCCAAAGGTCTCCACTAGGTCCCAGGAGCCAGATGCTTCGTGGCCTTATCCACAGTTCCCGTGCCTTGTCCTCCACCACCCACCACTAGAAGTTCACCTTAAGAGAGCCCCTGGCCAGGCCAATGCAGTCTTGCCTGTGTTGGGCCCCAGGGGGTCTGGGCCCCTCCCTACCACCCTCCCAACAGAAGGCAGCTCAGGGCGGGCCTGGTGCCCAGGAGCTGGCTCTGCCCAGAGCTAGCGGTCACAGCTGGCTGCAGGCCAAGAGGGAGGAGCGGGGCGCAGGCTGCAGGGTGTGGCAGGTTCAGGGCTCCTCCCACCTCCCTCCCTCCAGCTTCCCTGCCCAGGCACCCCCTCTACCCCAGCCTCACCGACTGCAGTAGGGCGTCGGCCTGGTTCAACTGCTCCTCGCACAGCCCAGCCTCCATCTGCAGTTTGCTGACAATACGCTGAAGACACTCCAGCCTGCAGCCCAAGAGCACCACAGGACCCACTGTGAGTGGGTCAGGTCTCCAGGCTCCCAGCCACAAAGCACAGCTCCCTCCTGGCCCGGGCCTCCCCGCCGGGCTGTGGCCCACAGCTGAGCTGGCCCAAGTGTGGGTTTCCCAGCCTGGGGGGGGATTTCCTCCCCAGGCAGTGACTCACCCTCGGGCGGCTTCCTTGCCCAGGCGGGGCCCCACCCCCCAGCACCGCCTGCACCCGCCCACCTCTCAAACTCGCTGCGGAGCTGCTTCTCCCGCTCCAGGATGGCCACGTGCAGCTTGCCCCACTCCTTCTCCACATCCAGTGGGTGGTAGCCCGGGGGCACCTTGAGCTGGCCTGCTTGTACTGCCCCCTGTGGAAAGGCGCCGCGTTCAGCAGAGGGGTGGGAGTGCCAAGCTACCCAGGCCCTCAGCCCACCCAACCTGAAACAGCCCTGGTCCCAGCTCAGTAGTGAGGCCAGGCCAAGCTTGCTCAAGGGACACCCCCAGGCCCTGGGTTCCTGGGCATCCTGCTCACCTCCAAGGACTGGAAGATACCCTTGGACCGGTTCTTATCCGCCTCCTTGGCTGGAAGCTCTGTCTCCTTAAACTTCAGGAACTGACACCACAAGATCTGTGAGGACAAGGCTGTTAGGAGGGGCCACCACAGTGGGCACAGAACCCTGGCTGAGCAGGTAAGCCCACCTCGATCTCCTCGAAGCTGGAGGGGAACCGGCGCTCCTCGAAGGCAGCTGTGTGCTGCCGGACCCACTGCAGCAGAAGCACCACCAGCTCCCGGTACTCCTGCCAGCGCAGCTGCAGCTCCTGGGCGGGTGGGCAAGGGGCCGTCAGGGGCCGTCAGGGCCTCCCCCACCCCCACGCCTCGCCGGGGCCTGCTGGCCATCACTCACGTTGGCCTTCACCCCATCCTGCACATCAGGCACACGGGGCATGGCATCATACAAGGACGAGACGTAGGTGATGATGGACTTCTCGTCAGGCTGAGGGACGTCCACGTCTGCGGGCGAGGTGGGGTCAGAGGGGCCCCAGCAAGTGGCTGGGATGGGAGAGGGAAGAGGGGCAGAGGCACGTACCCTCAGGGTCCAGGAGCCGGGTCACCCCCAGATCCCGCTCTGCCACAGAGAAGGCCTGGTCCAGGTTCTCCAGGTTGGTCTGACGATACACCTTGTTCATGTCGATAAGCATAGGCCTACGGGCAAGGGGCAGGTGGGTAGGCAGGGAGGGGGCGGCACAGGAGCAGGGAGATCCCCACACACAGACCCCAACCCCACACTCACCCTGGCGCCCAGTCCTGCCACATAGGCAGCCCATGTGCAGGCACTGTGCATGCTGGGACCCCTGCCTCCCCAGGAGCTCAAAGGGCCTACAGTGGGCAGGAGCCCAGGGGGTGTGCTGGTCAGCCTGGGCTCCCCACAGCCACCCTGCCCACCAGACCTCAGGTCCTGGGTGGGGGCTGAGATCCCCTGAAGGCTGACCCCACCGTGGCCCAGCCACCCAGTCCCCTTCCAGGGCCTTCACATGAAGCAGACGCTCACAGCTGTGAGAACCAGCAGCCCACTGTTCTCGGCTCTGTGGAAGCCAGCGCTGCCTCTGGAAGGGCCCAGGAGGAGGCAGGAAGGGTGTGGTAGGGCTGGGCAGGCTGGCACTGGTACCCGTCCCCGCGGGCAGCAGGTTCCCATCCTCAGCAGACGCCTCCTTGGCACTCTTCGCCCCGACATGTTTGAGGTGGCCAGCTGAGGGGCTGCAGGGCGCCCCTGACCCTCAGCCCCACCCCGCGCCTGGGCCTCATACTTGTGCCGGTGGATGATGGCGTTGAAGAGGCGGCCGTCGCGCCAGCTGGAGGTGAAGTTGTCACAGCGCAGGCCCTGGTAGCCCTCCACCATGCGCTGGGACCACAGCAGCAGCTTTTCCTTGGCCGTCATGTCCTCCGACTGCCCGCTCACCTGGATGTCTGAGATCTGCCCCACACAGTGGGCAGGAGGCAGGAGCTCAGCCATGGCCACCTACCCTGCCTGGTGCCCAGTCTCAGCACACAGGAGCCACCCAGCCAGTTGAGAAGAGCGGGGCCCAGGGGGCCCCCCCACGGCCAGGGGGCTGCTGGAACTCGCCACACGTTAGCGTCACAAGCCCAGGCCACTCCAGGCGGCAGCTGGCATAGAATGTCAGACCTCCAGCCCCCACGGCTGCCACAGGGTGGGTGCCCTGGGCTCCCTGGGCCTGGGGCACACCCAGCATCCCCAAGGCAGCCATGGGCCAGAGTTGGGGGAGGGTGGGCGCGGGAGAGCAGCGGCAGGCACCAGAGCACCACAGCGTGCTCAGAGGCCCCAAGCCTAGACAAGGCTGTTCGGAGGGGCGGGGCGGGTCTCTGGGGATGGGGCATGCAGGGCCACAGCACTGGCCCAGCCCTGCACTTAGTCGGATCCTTCAGGCCCGGGTCTAGAAGCTGTCTTGCTGTCTGTTCACCCGCCTGCCTGTCCCTGGCTATCTGTCTGTCTGTCAGCCCGCCCGCCTGTGTGACTCAGCTGCCGTGCCAACCAGGCTCTGCCTGCCCAGCTCTCTGATTTGTGGCTTCCTGTGCTGCTGGGCGGGCAGTGAGTGAGTCAGCCAGTGCAGAGGGTGCTTCTCCAGAACCTTCCCCAGGGCAGGCGGCTGCACCAGGAGCGAGCAGGGAACGCATTCTTCTGTAGGGAGGCTTTGCAGGCCCTGCCCAGCCAGGGCCAGAGGGCACGGGATAGACAGGCCCCAGAGAGAGGCCTGCACCCTCAGGCCATGGAGCTAGCACAGAGCTGGGGCGCTGGCTGGCAGCAAGGTTCTGAGAGGACGCCCAGGCCACTCTACCTGGAAGTGCAGGATGATCGTCCAGATCAGGCCAAGGGTCAGCTTGGGGTTGCCATCAGCGATGTCATCGTTCCTGATGTTCACCAGCTTCACCTGCGAGCAAGCTGTCCTCAGTCACGCCCGCAAGCCAGCGGGGAAGGGGGCGAGGGGCCTGTGGCCAGGAGGGCAGCCTTACCTGGCGGTGCCGGAGATAGTCCAGGGCGATCTGAACGTTCTGCAGCTTGTGGAAGCGCATCCTCCCCTTCTCCCGGGGCTGTGAGAGGAGGCAGGCTGGTCAGCATCTCCAGAGCCAGGGCACAGCCTGGCCGACGCCTGCAGCCCCACCCGAGCTCAGAACCCCAAGGCATCTATAGCGATTGAACGAGTGTCTTCCCCATTGGGGCAGCAGCCCCTTCTGTGTCCCCGTCTACCCACCCCAGCTGGGAAAGGCGGGCTACTGGCCCAGAGGCCAGGCCCAGCAGGGGCTTGGAAAGTCCAACGGCCAGGCTTCAGGGAAGGAAGGAGGGGGTGGGGAGGAGACAATAGCCAGGAAGCCCCGGGTGGAGGGCAGTGGCTTTGGGGGAGGGGGTCCTCCTGCCCAGTCTCAGGCAGTGCAGCAGGCAGGACAGCAGGCGGCTCGACGCGGGGTCATCTGCCCTCCCGCGTACCAGGTGCAGGCGGGGCTGCATGGGCCGTCAGCCCCGGGTGGGCTGGGCTCGTGGCCTCAGGGAGCCCACCTGCCGCGTGGCCAGCGGGCACAACCACTCACCAGGCGCGAGCTCCTGATTACGTCCCGCTCTCTTGGCTGCCGGGCCAGAGCAGGGCAAAAGGTAAAGGGCAGAGGTCAAAGTTCAGAGTCCAAGCAGCAGAGAAACCAAAGCAGAGCAGAGCATGAGGTTACTGTGTAAAGGCTCCAGCACGGAGGGTGGCAGGGCCAAGTGCCCACGGCACACGGCTGAGGGCCACTCCCAGGCGAGGCCCGACACTCTAGACCAGGAGATGCACGCAGTAGGGGGTGAGGCCAGGCTGAACATGGAGCAGGTGCGTGGGAAAGACCCCAAGGAGGGAAGGCAGGCGGGGCCACGGAGGGGGCGGGCGGGTGGGCAGACGTACCAGGCTGTCCCCTGAGAGCACCTCCAGGAGAGAGATGAGGTTATGGCCATCACGGAGGTCTTCGTACAAGTCACTGATGTGCCTCTGGGCCTGCAGGGACAGAGGGGCTGGGCTGGCTGCAGGTCCCTAGAACCAACAGGCCCTGGAGCAGGGCGGGCACTGACCCCAGAGGGCATAAGGCAGGAGGCCCACAGAACACGCCCACCCCCACGGAGTCACCTACCTCTGCCCTCCAGTGCTACACAGAGACCGGGAGAGACGAGGAGAAGGAGGAAAAAGACAGGAGGCAGGAGACAGGAGCGAGCGTGGGGAGGAAGAGGACAGAAAACGACAGGTTTCAGAGGTGAAAGGTTAGCTCTCAGGACAGTGAAGGGTGATCGAGAGCAGGTGGGTGGCAGAAGGGGTGGGGACCTTTGCTCAGGCTGGAGGGCCAGGGACACCCTCCTCCGCCCCCATCCACGATCTCCTCAGCCCCTGAAGCCAAGTGCGTGCACACAAACGCCCCTGTGCACACACACCACCAACCTTGATGAGGTGTTTGTTGACCCACTTGGTGAAGGTTTTCTTCTGCACGCGGTCCCGCTCATCTGGGAGAGACAAGGCCAGGTTACCTGGGGCCTGGGAGAAGCCCAGAGGGCCTCCAAGAGGTGACCACCATGCAGGCAGTGACCTGAAGAAGACCTCAGCACCACACACTGAGACTCAGTCTCCTGGCCCCTGCCCCACCAGCCTGGCAGAGACCGGGGCCCCAGTCAGCCCTGGCTGGGAGGGGAGGGGCTGGGCACACAAGGTGCCCACCGCTCATCCCTCTATTGTCTCCCTCCCAAGAGGGGAGGGTCTGGAGCTGCCAGCCGCACCCAGAGCGCACCCAGAGTGGCTGGCAAGTCCCAACCCGCCCCACCCCCACACATGCTGCCTCTCGGGGACCTGGGCAGACGTTCCAGGCCAGGACCCACGACTGGGCAGGGATGTGGCAAGGGGGAAGCTCTGTTCTCTCAACGGGCAGTGGGCGCCCCCCCAGACCAAAGCCCTATACCCAAGGCCCAGAGGCCACTACCAGCCTCACCAACATAGGCCAGCCCTCTTTGTGTGGGCAGAGTTTGCTGCCCACTGCCCGCCCTGGCAACTCAGCACCTGGGCCAGGACAGCACACCGCCCGCACCCCCAAGGCTTGTCTCAGAGTCTGTCCCCAAATTCAGACCCTCAGCGTTTGGGCCCCACCCCCGCCCAGGGCCAGGCTTCCTGCCGCAGGACTAGGCCCTTCCTGCCTCGTGCCTGCCTGGCCCAGCAAGGAGTGCCCGCTACCTTTCTTGCCCTCTGAGGCCCTGAGCACAGCCAGGTAGAGGTTGTCCTCCGAGCTGGTTCTCTTGGGACCCAGGCCCTCAGGCTCGGGCACGCGGAGCCGGTGCTGAGACATGGTGCTGTCCCTGCCTTTTCAGCGCTCTGTCCCTCGGCCCCCAGGTGCTGCGTCCTGTGCCCCGCGTGCACACAGGCGGCTGAGGCTGGTGCGGCAACAGCACTCGCTCGGCGTGGCGGTGGCGGTGGCAGGCTGGGCTCAGCTCGGCTCAGCTCAGAGCCGAGTTGGTGTGGCCACTCCCTACCCGCCCTACTCCCCAGTGGCTGTCCCCGCCCACGGGAGCCCCACCCCGCCCTGCCCACCCCCTCCAGGGAGGCAGCCCCTCCCCCACGGCCACACCCACACTGGGGCAGAAACAGGAAACCCAGGGGTTTCCTTACCCACTCTGCCTGCTGAAACCCCTGGGGGGGGGGTAACCTGGAGGTTGGAGGCGACCCGGCACCTCACTGCACACAGACCAGTGCCAGGACCACAGGAAACCACATGCTATCCACATGGCCACTCCAGAGGAGGCCCTCACTACGGGGAGGGTGCCTGAGTGTGGCTGGGCCCAGGGCTGCCCCTCAGCCGGCCCACCTTACCTACCAGAGGAGCTCTAGGAGGGTCCCCCAAGCTGAGGGACTTGGGGGCAACTGCCCATCCTTTCCTCGCAGACCCCCTAAATCACCCCTCCTCATAATCCATGCCCTACGCCCAGCCCCTACGCCCTGCTAGGCTCCACCGTGGTCCAGGGCCGGGCAGGCCTTTCCCAGGCTGCCCACCAGGCCAGTCCTGGAGCAGTGCCCGATCTGAAGGCAGAGCACACGGCAGGGCAGGAGGGGGCACATAGCTGAGCGCTGACTCACTGGGCAGGACCGCTCAGCCCTGAGCTGCAGGAACTCTGCTCCACGTTGGGGGGGGGCGCTGGGGCCAGTGGGGAGCACCTAGAGGGGGCCCAGCCAGTGAGTCAGGGATGGGGAGGGGGCCCAGGCACGGTGACTCACAGGCAAGGAAGCCGCACCTGGGGGCAGTGGGGGCAGGATGGGTGGCGGGCTGTTTACAGTCGGGTGGGGCTCACAGATAGCCGTGATCCAGGGCTGTAAAGGTGGAAAGACAAAGGGCACAGGGGTGCTGCCTGGCTCTCTCCAGTCTCGGACACAGTTGCCCATGGCCCCACAGGGACTGCCCAGCTGCCCGACCACCGCAGGAAAGAATGCACCGCCCTGACCACAGAATTTTCCAGTCGGAGAATCTGGCTTGATGGGATCCAGCTGTGAGCCGCTGCCCCTCCCCCTTCCCCAGTGCCTTCAGGCTTCTGTTCCAGGAAAAGCTCACCCCACCCTCAGCCCTGCTGCCCCTCTGTGGCCACGGGAGGGCGCCCAAACCCCGCAGGGTAGGGTTGCCAAGCCAGGCCCAGCTGGTTATACCCCATCCCCAGGCCTGGGGCACAGCCTAACAGACTCCTAGGGCTGCCAAGTGTCTCACACCCCTCTCCCCACCTCTGGAGATCCCCCTGGGGCCCCAATCTCAGACTCTGAACCTGCTCTACCCTCCAGGCCGGGTCTGCAGAGGCCCTACCAGCCCCCCACCAGACGTCAGCTCTTCCCTGTCCAGAGGTGCTCCACAATCCAAATCTCACCCTACGTCTGCTAGCGCTCCCAGTACAGTGCACACCAAGAATGTCTCACGCCAGCACACCCACCTGCCCCTCCCCAGGTCTGGAGCCTGCGGAAATGCCTTCTCCCGAAGATCCCCCATCTTAGCAGTTCAAAAAGCCTATAACTGAGCACCTGCTGAATGCAGGCTCTGGGCTAGTCCAGCAGTAACAGAGAGGTGGGGTCCCTACCTGCAGGGGTAGGGGTGTCATTCTGGTGAGGGCAAAGACACCAGAGGCCGCTGGGGATGAATCAGGAATTGGGAGCAGGGAACTCCAGGAGAAGCTATAACCTGGAGGCACCAGGGCCTGACATCCAAGACAGGTGAGCCCCCAGCCCAGGCCCCAGCCCAAGCTGCTTCTCCAGCTTTCTCCCTGCCACTAAGGGCCCTCCAAAGATGCCGTCTCGCTGTCCTGCATGGAGTTCATCACCTCCCAAGCCCAGCTCCGGCAGCACCACCCCCTGGAAGCCCTCCAGCCTCTGGTGCCTCCTCCTCTGAGCTCTTCCCAGGGTCTCAGAGCTCATCCTCTCCCCCCACCTCCACAGCCCCTCCCTCCCAGCCTTGCCTGCCAGTCCCTTGTCCCTAGCTGTGGATGTCCCCTTCCCTGTCCATCCTATTCAGGCCCTCAAACCAGCAGACAAAACAGGCTGGCCCAGCCCCGTGTGCCCCAGCA